AACACTTTGGATCAAGCATAGAGGTGTCATGTTGAGCGGTAGCTAGTTAATCTTCCTAGATTCACTTGCTCGTTTGCTCTCTAACTTCTTTTGTATAGAATATTTACATTTGCACAATTGGTAAACTGCGAACACACCAGCAAGCCTGACTGATGTTTAATTGTAGCATAGTTTTTCAGGAGAATAAAAATATAAGTTGGGGGTACCTTTTATTTAGCCCTGAGTTGTGTCACCCAGGTATTCCTTTCAGACTGCATACAGCACCAACATGAAGTTGGAAAGTTGAAAATGTCATTGTTGACTTATTGAAACCTAAACCACCATCTTTTCCAAACCTAACCAAACTGTGACTGAAAACTGAAAATAATAGCTCAGCGCTGACTTCTGGTTTCACACAGTGGATTCCTGGGTGTTTGTGAAAATCTTTCTGGCAGACAGGCCTGAAGGAAAACCTCTCCCATACCCATAATGAACCAACAGGGGAGGGCAGGCTTTATGTCACATCACGGCATAATTCAGGACAAAAACAGTTTGCAATGCACGAACCACACCACTCGCTGCTGTTCGTTTAGCTTACTGCTCTGAAGGTAATAACACTGAAGAACAGAGCTACAGATCACTCACAATGTGTAAGCTTGTTCTTTTCTGGCTTTTGATGTTGCACGTTGTGACGCTGCTTGTTGCTGGTTGCCTGTTTTGCCTGTAGGTGCCAGTTGCCCATCGGGACCTGAAGAGCAGTAACATTGTGGTGAAGAGCGGTAAGGAGTGCGCTCTGTGCGACTTTGGCCTGGCGTTACGACTGGACCTCGCTCTTTCTGTCGACGACTACGCCAACAGTGGACAGGTATACTATGGTTAAACATATCACCAAGCAGAACCTGCATCAGGTGTTCAGGTCGTCATTTGATCGGACTGTATCGTCCTATCCAGGTGGGGACGGCTCGCTACATGGCTCCTGAGGTACTTGAGTCCAGGGTGAACCTGGAGGACCTCGAGGCCTTTAAACAGATGGACGTGTACTCCATGGCTCTGGTCCTCTGGGAGATGGCCTCCCGCTGCCACGCCATCGGAGGTAGGAGCTTCTCCCTGTTTCTGTATATCTGTAGGACCAGTTCTATCAACATGTGGTAACACAAAGACAGAATGTACAGAATGGGGTGGTGATGGTGCAGTGGATAAGACCACATGCCTTTGGTGTGAGAGAGCCGGGTTTGATTCCCATTGTGACATCCACCAATGAGGGTTTTTTTTTGTATAAAAGCGTCAGCTAAATGAATAAATGTAAAACAGATTACAGCACGATACAGCTGAGCATGTATGATACGTCCAGCTGGTGTCGTGGGGGTGCAGCAGAAAGACGTCATTGTTTTCACCTGTCAGCACTAAGACGCTACCCCAGAGTTTAAAACCAAAACGGGGTCAGCAGCATTTTCAGACTTCAAAGTTTTAGGTGTTTGGATTCGCTGTTTTAGTCTGGAAGGGGGGCGGAAACGTCGCAGAAGGTCCGAGTTTTAAAGTCGTGTGGATGTACCATCTCCCTCCGGGGACGACGAAGACCCGGCAGGTTCAGGCAGGGATAGGAGAGGCAGCGACAGCGCGTAGTGCCAGAAGAGTTTCACTTCTAGACACTATCGCTTCTCCGGGTACAAAGTGGTATTACAGCACAGGACGGGCCGGGCTAGCTGGTTACCATGCTTTGACGTGATGTTTAGGTGTTTGGATGTTTGGATTCGCCGTTTTAGTCTGGAAAAGTAGCAGAAGGTCTGTGTTTTAAAATGATGCAGCCTAAGGTAAATTATCCTACATTTCCTTTCCACTGGTCTGAAAGAAGACAAGTTAAAGAAGCAAAGTACCCGTAAATCTCACAATTGACCAGTTTGTGATAAACCCATGTTTTTGCCTGCCGGATCTTGCCTTAAATTGTAATTGTAATATTTCTCTGTGTGTGTTGCAGAGGTGAAGAGCTACGAGCCGGCGTTTGGCTCTAAGGTTTGTGAGCAGCCCTGTGTGGACAGCATGAGGGACCTGGTGCTGAGGGACCGAGGACGGCCGGACATCCCCTCAGCGTGGACGCAGCACCAGGTGGGGTCCAGTCAGAAACACAGACTCTCAGGTCTGACCGCTCGTTCGTGTCCTCTGGTGTCTAACTGCAGTCCTCTGTCCTCCAGGGGATGAGTGTGTTCTGCTCCACCATCACAGAGTGCTGGGATCACGACCCTGAGGCCAGACTGACGGCTCACTGCGTGGTGGAGCGCTTCAGCGTCCTGCAGCAGGAGGAGGAGGACCAGAGGCCGGAAGCTGACGGAGAGGAAGACAGGGACAGAGAAAAGGACTCAGAGACACCAGACAATGAGCAGATTCCCTCCTTCTCCCCTGCTGCTTCCTCACCATCCTCCTCTTCCTCTGTCCAGATTCCTCAGCCTGACTCAGAGAGCGGCGATACAGATGTATCCCATGATTCCCTGCTTCACACTGGTTCTGTGGTGTGAGTGTTGGACCTCGCCATCCCATGCTGATGAAGGACCCTCCTCGCTGCCTCAACTGCCGGTGTTGTCTTGTCAGTGTCACAGGCCTGAAGTGGATAAACGTGGCTGTAGAACTAAACTGTGGCGGCAGATGATGTGATATAAACAAACCCTGCGGCTGGGTTAGCATATGTGCTGTTTTTGTGGAGTGTACCACTTTTAGCTATGCTGTCGGTCGGTCCAGACCAAGCAGGATCCTCCAAGTCTAAAAAGTGAAGCCTTAAACCTGCGTCCTCTCCAGCAGCCAGCAGGGGGCGACTCCAGCGGCTGCACAAAGAAGTCTGTGAGAAAAGTTTCTACTTGTCAGCTGATTTATTCCCTCAGTAAACACTTTCCTGATGAGTTTCTGGTCTCAGTCGCTAGTTTCAAGTCTTCTTCAACACAGCATGATGTTCATTTAGTAAATTATGGTCCCATTTAGAGGAACAGAGACCAGGAAGCAGGGGAGGCTTTAGGGCGGAGCTACTAACCAAGTTAGCTAGCTTCAACTTCTCGTCCAAATATGGTCAGTCCGGTTCCAAACAACCGGATGGTGACGGCCAAAATGCCAAATTTGAGGTTTCAAACCGATAGTCCACAACAAACCACTGGGGCTCGTTACGGAGGCTACGTCAACTTCTTTCATACCGTCTGTGGTCCAGACTGAACTGCACAACTGTTGGATGGATTTCAGTGGACTTTGTCATTGTCCCCACAGGCTGAATCCTCTGACTTTACCTGTAGCACCACTTGCTGAGGGCAGCAGGTTAGATATGGTGTTTTGAGTAGTATCTAGCTGCAGTACCAGAGGCTGCAGTTTCAGGACCCTTGTTTACTTTGATACTGATAACTGTCTGGCTAGCTATGTTACTCTTGACAGCCCCCGAAGCCAATTACCCTCACCACAACTATCACTCAGTGTGCCTAAACCCAAGTTATTGATTATATGATTATAGTTCCACAATTGTTCTCCTTTAAAAAATGACCTTATTTGTTCTGTACTTTGTGTTGAGTCTAGAGGATCCACAGAGTCGGCAGGATTCCTCCTGTGGATACCACAGATGTCTGCACCACTTCTCATGGTGATCCATCCAACAGTTAAAGATATTTCAGTAAAAGTAAAACATATCAACCTGCTGAAGTTCTTACAGTCCATCCTGAGGGGAACGTGAACGTCTGAACCAAACATCATCCCAACACATCCAACAGCTGCCGAGATTCAGTCTGGACCACAGAGGACGAACGAGCGGCCGATAGACCGACGCTGCGTGAACGGCTGAAAAGGTAACGTCTGTATTTACCCGGCAGTGTGAACCCTGCACACATCCTGGGCTTTTCGCCTGAAGACCGGAGAGGATAGAAGCTCTGCTGGCGGAGACGCTCCCTCAGACTGTCCGGTTGTGTGAACGCGTTTGTAGGAGCTGGTCTCCACGTGGTTCTGGTGTTATTCTTTGATAGCTACTGTGATAATCAGTACTATAACTATCAGACTGTTGCATCAGATCTGAATCACACGCAACATATTTCCATGTGTTATTGTTGCCAAGATGTAAAAGTCCAATGTTCTTCTCATTATATGTGATTTGAACTGAATATGAACACTGAACTAAAAATACTTTTCCATCCATCAAGAAACACAGACACACAAAACCACTATCGGATGGAAAACTGAGTGTGTTTTCTGTAATTGATTCTTGATTCTGTCTGTAATTGTGTTTCCTTCCTGTTTTATGCTCATTTTCAGTTTGTGCATAAATGCTGAAATTTCATGAAAAAGCCTTTCCTGTTATTTTGTGGATAAAAACAGAAAAAGACCGAGTGAATAAATGATGAAGTACATGAAGCATGTGACTAACATGCTGTGACTAACCGGCCGCACACTAGAGGATAATGCGGCTGATTTTGAGTCCGATTCGCCCTCCGATAATCGCGGGGCCGTTTCTGATCTGAGGCTGGTCGGAACAGATTATCAGCCTAAATCATCCTGCAGTGTGAGGGGTTTACAGACATAATCTTAAAGTTGTCTACAGGACTGGAATCTCCTTGATTTTGAATCATTAATATGATTTGAATTCAGGAGCCTCCAGTGAGAGCGAGCTGAGCGGGAAGCGTCCCCAGCGTGTTGTGCATCTACTCTAAAAAAAAACAACACATAAATAAATAAAGGTAGAAACCTGCTGATTCCCTCTTCTCAGCCTCAAGTTCATCCAGGTTGGTTGTCTTCTTTTGTTTTTCTGTGCAGCACACACAAGGTCAACCAGCTGACAACGACAGTCTGCCTCCATTTTTGTTTTTGTCTGAAGTCCCGTTTAATCACACGAGATTGAGACTGAGAGATCCCTGACACCGTCACTTTTAAATCGTTTAGTCCAAACGCAGAGTGTGTAGTCCTGCGTCTGGACTGAACCGTCTGGTGTGTGCGTTTTTAAAAGGTTCAATGTAAAAGTTTTAGTGGCATCTAGTGGTGAGGGTTGTGAATTGCAACCAACTGCTCAGTCACCGCCTGGGCTGGACTGGGACAAAAAAAAAAAGAAAATACAAATTGACTTTTAGAGGTGTGAACGGATGACGAGGATCCTGTATTTCAAGAGGAATGAAGGAAAACAATTAGAGAAAGGTTATATAGATAAATATAACGCATCTCTTTATTCTGTTTTTATTTTACTTCAGATTTAAAGATGTTAATCTAAGCTAAGCTAACCACCTTCTAGCTGTGAATGGATCTTCTCATCTGACTCTCAGCAAGAAAGTGAAAAAGTGTGTTCTTTCCCAGACTGTCAAACATGAAACATGAGAAACACAACAATCCCACACGGAGGAAGAACTGCTGCCCTTTCACAAGCTTCCATTTTTTCTCTTAACAACAATTAAAACGTCAGAGAGGAAATAAATGAAAGAGAAGTTTAAAACTTTTACTGCGTATAAAAAAGGGACGTGGGCTCTGGTGGTTCCCAGCACTCTTTAATATTCCCGGGTTTACAAGACAGGACTGAGTTTCTCGTTGGGGTCTGAAACAGTCCGGGACCACAACAGTGAGGAGGAACGCCCAGTTTTTATTTTGAAAGAAGTCGGTCCAGCTGCTGTTGGCCTGTCGCAGGACAATCTGCTCACAAATCAAAACCCCCAGCTTCAACTTTAAAGACTTGCTGTGATGCAGAAAACACAAACTGCTTTGTGTGTTGGGTCAACATGACAGTCGGACCACAATGCAAAGGCAGCAGTTATTTTCATCATCACAAGTTTCTTCTGCCTGTAAGTTGTGAGAGAAAACAGTGAATAGTGACGTCTTCAGATGTCTTGTTTTGTTCAATCAGGGCCCAGTTGTTCAAAAGTAATCTGATTGGATTGCATCAAATCTGGAAAATGGGTTGTTAAAAAGAAAAACAAGTTCTGAAATCGGATCAGATCACCTGATCCAGTCCTGGTTGTGATCTGGATCAAACCTTCAGTTTGTGTTGTTCAAAACCTTTTAGTAGAATTGGAATCCCTTTGATCCAAAAAATCAAGTTGTTCAAAAAATATAATCTGGATCAGAATGATCTGGATTTGCAAATCTCATGTTTTGCTATCCAGGATCATGTATTTTAACTATTGGACTATTGAACAGCACTCAATATACCCAGAGAGCAGCTTTTAGCTTTTAAGAGGCGATATCCTGATCTGATCTCAACTCCCCAACACACGCTGAAATCCACCTTGCAACAAAATAGTTTTAATAAATTTTCCGTCAGTCAACTCTGAGCAGAACACAATTTTACTCGCCGACTTTGAACACAATATTTAACAACTCAGTCTACAACTTTAACGTCACGACCGGAGTCAGAGAGAGGATCAAAAGAAGGCTAATGAGACGGACACAGAGCAGCCTTTCATTGGTCACTTAGTCGTCACAGAGCTAATCACATCCAGCTCGTCTCCCAGTGAAGTTAATCTGTGAGCGTGGGAACCAACATCAGACAGAACCGTTCTCACCCTGCCCACGAACAGGACCGCCCAGAACCACAACAGCTACTACTACAACTACTGCCAAAACTACAACAGCTACTACTACAACTACTGCCAAAACTACAACAGCTACTACTACAACTACTGCCAAAACTACAACAGCTACTACTACAACTACTGCCAAAACTACAACAGCTACTACCAGAACTACTGCCAAAACTACAACAGCTACTACTACAACTACTGCCAAAACTACAACAGCTACTACTACAACTACTGCCAAAACTACAACAGCTACTACCAGAACTACTGCCAAAACTACAACAGCTACTACCAGAACTACAACTACTGCCAAAACTACAACAGCTACTACCAGAACTACAACTACTGCCAAAACTACAACAGCTACTACCAGAACTACAACTACTGCCAAAACTACAACAGCTATTACTAGAACTACAACTACTGCCAAAACTACAACAACTACTGCCAAAACTACAACAGCTATTACTAGAACTACAACTACTGCCAAAACTACAACAGCTACTACCAGAACTACAACTACTGCCAAAACTACAACAGCTACTACCAGAACTACAACTACTGCCAAAACTACAACAGCTACTACCAGAACTACAACTACTGCCAAAACTACAACAGCTACTACTAGAACTACAACTACTGCCAAAACTACAACAGCTATTACTAGAACTACAACTACTGCCAAAACTACAACAACTACTGCCAAAACTACAACAGCTACTACCAGAACTACAACTACTGCCAAAACTACAACAGCTACTACCAGAACTACAACTACTGCCAAAACTACAACAGCTATTACTAGAACTACAACTACTGCCAAAACTGCAACAGCTATTACTAGAACTACAACTACTGCCAAAACTACAACAGCTACTACTAGAACTACTGCCAAAACTACAACAGCTACTACTAGAACTACAACTACTGCCAAAACTACAACAGCTACTACTAGAACTACAACTACTGCCAAAACTACAACAGCTATTACTAGAACTACAACTACTGCCAAAACTACAACAGCTATTACTAGAACTACAACTACTGCCAAAACTGCAACAGCTATTACTAGAACTACAACTACTGCCAAAACTACAACAGCTACTACTAGAACTACTGCCAAAACTACAACAGCTACTACTAGAACTACAACTACTGCCAAAACTACAACAGCTACTACTAGAACCACAACAACCTCTAAAACTACAACAGCTACTACCAGAACTAAAACAACCTCTAAAACTACAACAGCTACTACCAGAACTACAACTACTGCCAAAACTACAACAGCTACTACCAGAACTACAACTACTGCCAAAACTACAACAGCTACTACCAGAACTACAACTACTGCCAAAACTACAACAGCTACTACTAGAACTACAACAACCTCTAAAACTACAACAGCTACTACCAGAACTACAACTACTGCCAAAACTACAACAGCTACTACCAGAACTAAAACAACCTCTAAAACTACAACAGCTACTACCAGAACTACAACTACTGCCAAAACTACAACAGCTACTACCAGAACTACAACTACTGCCAAAACTACAACAGCTACTACCAGAACTACAACTACTGCCAAAACTACAACAGCTACTACCAGAACTAAAACAACCTCTAAAACTACAACAGCTACTACCAGAACTACAACTACTGCCAAAACTACAACAGCTACTACCAGAACTACAACTACTGCCAAAACTACAACAGCTACTACCAGAACTACAACTACTGCCAAAACTACAACAGCTACTACCAGAACTACAACTACTGCCAAAACTACAACAGCTACTACTAGAACCACAACAACCTCTAAAACTACAACAGCTACTACCAGAACTAAAACAACCTCTAAAACTACAACAGCTACTACCAGAACTACAACTACTGCCAAAACTACAACAGCTACTACCAGAACTACAACTACTGCCAAAACTACAACAGCTACTACCAGAACTACAACTACTGCCAAAACTACAACAGCTACTACTAGAACTACAACAACCTCTAAAACTACAACCACTACTAGAACTACTATGACTGACAAAACTACAACTACTACTAGAACTACTGCCAAAACTACAACAGCTACTACTAGAACTACATCAACCTCAAAGAGTACAACAACTACTACTAGAAAAACAACAACATACTACTACTAGAAGTACAACTACAACAGCTAATACTAGAACAATTAGGCCTAATAAAAACCAACAACAACAACTACTACTAGAGTTACAATAACCTCCAAAACTACAACAACAACCTCTAAAACTAGAAACTACAACAACAATTAGCTAATATAGAACTACAACTTCTACTACTGCCAAAACTAAACAACTACTACTAGAACTACAACCTCTAAAACTACAACTACTACTACTAGAACTACAACTACAACTAGAGCTACAACAACCTCTAAAACTAGAAACTACAACAGCTACTACTAGAACTACAACTATTAGCTCTGGACTGATACAACTGCTGATATTAGCTGATTGCCGATAAATGGAGTAAATCTCAGCTGATAAAAACAAGAACTTGCCTCCAGAAATGAAGTCAGAAGCTTTACAATAAAAGAAGGTATTTAAATGTAGTTTTCATATCAGTAATAATTATAAAATATTAAATTGTTGCTATGTTGTCTGTAATAAGTAGCCCATAGTAAAGGCATCACTTTGGCTAATCATGCAAAGCTGTGTCAAAAAGGACAGGCTCCTATTCTCCCTGAAAGAGTGACTCCTCCTATCAACACGCGATCTTTGGAGCTCTGTGCCTCGCCGCTGAATTGACAACCGAGTGAGTCCTCTTGTCGCCGGGCGATCTTCGGCGCACCGGGCTCTCCTCCTCCCAGCAGCGAACCAGGATTTACCGTGAACCTGCCGGTGTCACTGCGCGTTAACTCCACAAAACGGCCGTGCGGGAGTTTCTGCGGGATGCGAACATGTTCTGATTCACGCAGCGAGCGATGAGTGAACGCAGCGCCGAGGGGACCGGAGCGGCGGAGCGTCTGTTGACTTCGGGCTGCCGAGCTCCGCTGGTTGTCGGACAGGTCGGAGGAGGATGGAGCCGAGGCTGAGCGGGGATGGCGAGCCGTCCGTGTCCCGGTTCCTCGGCCCTGCCCTCGTCTTCTCCGTCCTGGTCGTGTTAGCGAGCTGCCACGGGACGTGCAGACACCGAGCCCCCTCTCCCGGCGAGGTGAGCCCATGAGCTAAGCTAAGCTAACTAGCACCGTGGCGGCGGATGGGATAAGCTAGTTAGCACGCTAGCTGTGTTGGCCATTCATTACAGTTACCTGTTTAGCTTGTGTGCTAATGTAACTGCTTTACATTATATCGATAATCCCTTTATGATGCGACAAGAACACTTAGCTTAGCATGTTAGCTGCACCTGCATGAGAGTAGCTAGCAAGCTAACAGGCTAAGATGAAATTACTTGGTTATTAATACATTTTACTGTGTTTAATGACAAAAAGCAGGATTTTCAGTGTCTGTCAGACACATTTAAACTGTTAAAAACACAGTTTATTCATAGCTATTAGCTTTAGCCTGTGTTTCCCTAGCAACAACAGAAATAACACTTCCGGCTAGGTTTCTTCAGAGTAAAAGCACCAGCCGTACAACGCTTACAAACTTTTTTATGTGCTGAAAATTAATAACATGTAATATAATGAGTCGACGCTCCCTTGCAAATAAATTGTGAAATAATGCAAACTTTAATTACTAACCAATACTGGATTTTCGAGGCAGATATTGATTGTGGATAGGTTAATAGGTCAGATTAACATAAATACGTAACATATAAAAAGGAGTAATGATTAGGATGCAGTGAGCATTGTGAATCCTTCTGAGTAGACTGACAGAGAGGCGTCCTGTGTTTAGGCAGCTGCAGGACAAAGAGTTTCTGCATCCCGCATTTTATAAAAAGATTGTATTCTGCCCAGCTTCAACCTGGAGCGCTTAGTGATTGTAAAAAAACAAACAGAAACAGTCTGTCTGAATGTCTGGTTTCTTGTCTTTTCTGCGGGCGTCTTGTAGGTTGTCCATCATGTGTACTTGAAGCCCGAGCGCTTGATTAAGAGAAGCTCCCCCGACGACCTTCAGCTGAAGATAAAGATCATCTACGACTACAGTGTTGACCAGTGAGTAGGGCACCTCACCTTACGATTCACGAGACATGGCCCACGAGACAGTATCCAGATACAGCAATTCTGAGATATCGGTATTTTGCTAGACAGTAATGACACGTCACGATATCTGTCTAGCTATAAATACAAAACGCCCGTGAAAAGTTTTCTCTCTTTATTCACTGCCAAGTCCAACCTGTCAGAACGCAGCGCAAATCTGCAACGCTCTGGTTTCATTCTGTAAATTAAAATAACAGAACTATAGAAAAGTTATCATAAAAACATTTCTTTATAATAGACACATTAAATGCATTTTTAAAATAGAGCTGAAAATACAAACTGCTCCACCTAGTGGTAGCTGTATTTTTAGGCCACTGGGAAGTTTGGGTTTGAGCTGTAGCTGGTCAGTGTCAAGTGCTGAAGAAGCCTGAGATTTTATAGTTTCTCAATGAATTAACTAAAAGCTTCTGACTTTATTGTGTGTTTAGCCTTTTGATGGTTTTTGTAGTTGGGACATCTCTTGATCGAGGCGCCACTTTTATATTTATAAGCGATAAAGAAGTTGAATCAATCAGTTTGGCATCGGTTTGTTTCTCTGTCTCTCCCCACAGGCTTCCTGCAGACCAGAGGAGGCTGGTAAAGGTGAGGAACACCTGCAGCACTTTGTAACAGTTACAGAGAAATAAAATGCAAACCTATAAGGTGACACACTTTGCTGAACGGCTGTAGCACCTGTGGAATCACACACAGACTTCTTAAGGACTAATTAACATTTCCTCACTGGGAAAACATTTGCAAAGCCGATTTAAAACACTTGTATTTTTCCATCAGTGATGCTGCTAATGTGTGTGTGTGTGTCTCTGCGCAGGATAAACTGTTTCCTCAGGCCATCGATTACCTGCAGAGGGCCTTCAGCGTGAGGCGCAGGGTCGGGCCCGTGTTGCTCAGCAGGTACGTGGCCGGTCCGTCACGATGTTCCCACCTCTGTACTACAGATAGTGTGTTTGTTCTCTAACTGTTTCTGTCGGCTCAGACAATGTGCGACCAACCAGTACCTGAGGAAGAGAGATGACCCTCATCGCTACTGCCAGGACGCCTGTGCCGACGTGACCCGGTGCGGCCCCGTCATCGTACCGCAGCACCACCTGCAGGTCAGGATAAATGTTACACCTTAACCGTAACAACTTGTTGGGCTAAATACTCCTCGCTTAGAGTGTGTTTTGTGGTCATAGTTGCTTTGAAGACATTACACGTCATCTGATTTCAGAGGCTGAAGTAAAGTTGAATTATACAGAACATTTCTAGAGAAGACGTCACGATGCGCTTCACAAGTTGAGCAACATTATGTGAGATGTGGTTTTTTTTTGTGATTTGGCGTCCCGACCGTTTCAGAGTGTAATTCACCGCTATGGTAAATAAGGACAGCTGTACACGTGCATTTGTCATGATTACATTACTTATGATCAAAAACCAGCGGTCACAGTCGATATTGACTCCCAGCTGTGTACAGCGTGCTAACCTCTACAACCCAGCTGTATTCTAACATTAACATAGCTCTCCTTATCAGCTAGGCTCCTCCTGCTTCACTAATAACTTTTTTAAAGCTGCGTCTCCAACATTGACAGCGTTGTGTTGGACTGATTTGTGCAGCGGTGTTCGAGAGAGAAGAGGTGCTGAGCGAATACATGTGCTGTATTGTGGCAGGCCGCCATAAATAAATCAGTGTATGGGAATATGTATATTGTATATTGTACGTGATGTACTCGTTGCCGAGTTTTTGTTGCAGTTTTTATGGTTGTTGTAAATTTATAAAGATGCTGTTTGTTCTGTTTTTGTACTTTATTCCACAGGAAAACTATATTTGTTAAGATATAAGATGTTCGCAGTAACCAGGCAAAAGCTGCTGTGGTGTAAGTCTGTAAGACAGAGGGAGGGGAATTTGTTTCCCATGTTTCCTGGCAATAAAATAAACAGTTGTCATTTCATGATATTTCTGTTAACTTTAACACTTAATACACTGTTTTTAGGACTAATTAAATAATAATGTATAATGCTACATGATAAATAAAAGGCTCCAGATAGACCCAGTGACCGGTGATCGGCCCAAAAAATCCTGATCGGAGCACCTCTAGTAAAGACAATAGAAATATCTGGTTATCATGGGTCAATCTGATATTATGGCTACAAAAAATGGATCCAAGCGTAGCATATACAGAGAGAAACAAAAGTGGTCCTAAGGTTGATCCCTGAGGGACGCCACAGGAAACGAGGAACCAAAGATCTTCTGCTGTTGAGCTGTGTGCTAAGGCAGTGCAGGATTTTGATGATGATTGATCATGAAACGCTCTCACACTCGTGTATTCCTGTCCTAGCAATGCAAGGTGTGCAGCGAATCAGGGAAGTCTTGCGGCCCCTTGGGGCCCCCAGATGGCCCCGGAGTGGAAGGGTCCGACTTTGTGCTGTACGTCAGCGGCATCACCACGGAGCGCTGCGGACAAGAGAACATCGTGGCCTACGCTGCTTACTGTCAGCTGGAGGCGGAGCTGGACAGGTGAGGAGGACACAGGAAGTCACGGTGGTTCAGACAGTCAGCTGTTAGTCAGGTTTGGTGATGTATAATAATAATAATAATAATAATAATAATAGGGATCAACCGATATGTGTTTTTCCTAGGCCGATACCGATTATTAGACCAATGGCCGATATGTGGAACCGATATACATTTGCTGTAAAACTTTTAATGTAATAAATAACTAAATTAAAATAAATAAAGTTGTCATGTTTAATCTTTTAAAATAGTAAATTAAATTAGAGATCCATCCCAGAGATGGACTTGTTAACTATGAGTGATAAATTATCATATACTTTGTCTTTAGCGGCTGCCATTTATACTGTATTATTTATTGTTAGGACTTTATTGATACTATTTGTTGGTTCTTTTCTTTATCAGTCCTCTAATTGTTTTTTCATTACTAAATAATTGCCTTTTAAAAATGTCAAAAAATAATAAATTCAGAACAGTAATCAAATTTAATATTTTATTATAACTGTTTTCAGAGCAACAGAAGTAAAGTTTACAGCAGTACAACAATATAAAATCAGTAGCTCACTGGAAACAAATGGTTAAATAAACTATATTCCTGACATGAGTGTCCACCAAAGCGTTTTTTGCCAGCTGAAAACGCCACCTGCTCTTCTGCGAACGCCTGGCTGGCAGCACAAGGGTGCGTTTAGGAGTTGCAGCGTTTTTTGCCAGCTGAGATGCTTTGGTTGCTATGATGCGTAATGTCCGTGGAGGTGATGTGCTGCAAGTAGGCTGCTTAATTTGACCAAATGTAAAAATGTCACCACACAGTAAGGTAGGCCTACTTGCTCTGGCCCTTGCTCTGCATGAAGAGAAGGCTTAAACATGTAGAGCGAGGAGACGGAGAATGAGAACAGAGCTGAGATGGCTCGCTGTGCGACTGCGCTGTGATTGGACGGACTATATTAACTTCTGCTACGAGAACGCTGTGCCCGCCAGGACTGTACGGTGCTTCTCAAACAACAAGCCGTGGATTACAAAGGTCTCTTAAAGGAGAAGAGGAGAGCTTTCAGATCAGGGGACAAGGCTGAGCTGAAGAGGCTGCTGCACACCACCGGGACAATGCACTTCCTCAGCCTTTCACACCTCCGGCTCACCTCGCCTCTCACCCACCCCATCCCCAGACGGACGTCTTCACGCCCCCCTGCCCACCCCTGTCCTTCACAGCAGCACAGGTGAGACGGGCGCTAAGGAAGATCAAGGCAAGAAAAGCAGCAGGTCCAGATGGCATCAGCTCCAGGCTCCTGAAGTCCTGCGCAGACCAGCTGTGCGGAGTTATGGAGAGGATCTTCAACCTGAGCCTGAAGCTGGGAGTGGTACCACAACTGTGGAAGACCTCCTGTGTGGTACCGCTGCCAAAAACACTGCACCCTAAAGACCCCAACAGCTACAGGCCGGTGGCTCTTACATCACACCTGATGAAGACGCTGGAGAGACTGGTCCTGCAACACCTCCGCTCCACAGTGGGCCCCTCCATGGACCCGCTGCAGTTTGCCTACAGGCCCAACATCGGAGTGGAGGACGCTGTCATCTTCCTGCAGCATCGTGCCCTCGCCCACCTGGAGAAGCACCATCCAGCCGACGCTTCTGAAGGACAAGCTGGAGAGGACTGGTGTGGACCACCTGCTGTCACAGTGGGTCCTGAACTATCTCAGAGAGTGGCCACCTCACCTGGACTCACAACACAGATGCTCTGTACAAGAGGGGTCAGAGCAGACTGTACTCCCTGAGGAGACTGAGGTCCTTTGGAGAGACAGGGCCCCTCCTAAAGACTTTTTATGACTCTGTGGTCACGTCAGCCATCCTCTACGCTGCGGTCTGCCGGAGCAGCAGCATCACTGAGAGTGACAGAAAAAAGTTGGACAAGGTGATCAAGAAATCCAGCTCTGTCCTCTGGACTCAGTGAGGGAGGTGGGTCAGAAGGGTCCTGGCTAAACTGACAGCTATGCTGGACCATGAGTCGCTCCCCCTGCACTGCACCCTGCCAGCCCTGGAGAGCAGTTTCCACCCCCGCTGTGTGAAGGATACCGCAGATCTTTCCTTCCAGCGGCCATCAGACTGAACAAGGAACACCGTTGACTCTGTGCAATACATCCCATGTGCCATTATTACATCTGTGCATAATTTTCATTTGTGCAATTTTACTAATTCATGTGCAATTATTGTATAATACAGTTTGCTATATCTGACTTACGTGCATTTTCCTTCTACAACACTTTTATATTACCATTATTTATTTATGCTGCAGGAGACTGTCCTGTATAAGGCACAGTCTGTTTAGTCTTATTTAATGTATAGTAACTTTTACTGTAAGAACGGTACTTTCTTGTCTGACACTTGTTTATGCTACTTTGTACACTCATCTATCTCTGCTCTTGTCTTTGCTGTTGCAAACCGCAAAGACAAGTGTGGGACATTTGTGGGACAAATAAAGGTTTTCTTATCTTATCTACACTGATCTTCGCTTAGAGTGTGTGTATTTGTGAAGCTCTGCTGAGACGGGAGGAGAGGGGCTGCAGCGTGGTGGCGCGCTCGTTGTATTGGCTACTTCCGCATAGTAGTCAGTGTTGATAGGCTGTTACTCGTGACTTGTAACCAGTCAGCTAGTAGAGTAGAGAGGCAGCTGCATCGGCTGTCTGTTGATGATGACCACCAAAAATGCTAAATATCGCCACCGATTATTGGTCAACCCCTAAATAATAATAACTTGATTTTTGTGGCGCTGCTAACCTCATGTGGCCCCTATTTTCTGTTTCCTCCAACTCTAAACCGAGTTGACAGGAAGATGTGTATCATCTGCATAGAAATGAAACCATATATGATGTCCACTAATTATGAGATTAACAAGATACCCTCGTTATCGTGGGCAGGCTGTCTAACTGACTCTGTGGTTCCTCATTCAGACCTGTAGCGGGTTATGCCAACCTGTGTCCTGCGATGATCTCCTCTCAGCCTCAGGAGTTTGAGGGGATGCTCTCCACTGTCAAACACGAGATCATCCATGCTCTGGTCGGTACAACATTTTTCTTTTAATCTTCTGTCAATATTGTGCTTTTCTTGTTGTAAAGAAACTTTCTGACCGAGCTGCTGTCCGGAGCTGTCTCAGATAACGCTGATACCTACCTGTAGCCGTCAGTAGATTATTGGGGAGGGCTGGTTTTTCACTGTGTACAGTTCATGCTTTTCAACTTCATACAAGTATTAACTAAGACTGAATACCGGATGTGCACCATCTGAGAAGCTCCAGTGAAGATAAATAAATAAATTTAAATAAATCGTTGTAATCCCAAAAACCGCTCTCCACACGTCGCTGTGAAGCCATCGGTGACATATGAACAATCTCAACGCTGATAGGCTTTCGCGACTCAGCGTTGTGCGACTTTCTTGCTGGAGTTGAAAATATTCAACTCACACAAATTCCTTCGCGTTGCCTTTGCTTCGCCTTTGCGCCGCCCGACAGGAAATCGCGGCTCTACGCGTCTTTGCATTGACTTTGTATGTAAACTCACTGCCCGAACGCTCGCTTCTCTTTTGGTCTGGAAGCACCATAAGACTGTTGGACTCTCCGGCTGTCCGTCCACTCAGACCTCATTTTATTATGCGTGCAAAGTAGGGGCGAAAATAATAATCACCATTATTTAAAACAAAAACTCAATGACTAAGGAAACATTAATTATTTACTTAAAATCGTTATTGAAAATAAACATCAGTGAATTGCAGAGGCCTGTGTCAAAGTTCACCAAAGTTTAACTCAACATGAAAAAGTTGTGCAGATTTAGTTCAGACCAGCGAGTGAATCCACCGATCGTGGCGTCTCCAGTGGAATCAACTGATTTTGCTTTTTATATTCTGCTGTGACGGAACCTAACCTGTTGGTGGTTGATTTGTGTGAAGTGTGAAACCTGTGTGCTCTCTCTCCTCTGTGCACCAGGGCTTTTCAGCAGGACTGTTTGCCTTCTACCACGACGACGAGGGCAAACCTCTGACTCCTCGCTTCGCCAGCGGCCTGCCCGCCTTCAACGAGAGGTGAATACAGTTCAGTCTACCTGATGATAAGTAATCATCTCAGATGCATCGGGCATTGGATTACCGCAAATTCTCAAATAGCGGCTGTATTTTTATTTTTTTTTACCTCAGACAGAACCAGGCTTTTATTAGAGGCAGGCCTTTATAATGTCTCTACCTGTCTGGATGAATCCAGTATAATATTAGTTTCCACAGCACTAATTCAGTCAGTACAACCACAGAGTCTTGCAGCTTTCCTGTTAGAGGTGGGCTTTTAATGTGTTGCAGCTTAAAGTCAATCAGGACGAAAAAGAATTATGAACACTCACCGTATTTCTTCGTGCCAGCCTGGGTCTGTACCAGTGGAACGAGACGGTGATCCGGAGGGTCACCCGGCTGTGGGACATCAGAGGAGGAGAGATGGTCCGACACCAAGTCCACGTCCTGGTCACGCCCCGCGTCGTGGTGAGCAGCAGCTGCTTGTACAAAAACACATTTCCACTTGTGTTGCATGTGGTCACAATGCGTCTCTGAGCGCCTCCAGAGGTGGCGTTGCCGATCGGATCACAATCGGTGTGTCTCGGGTGCATTTACGCCTGTACTTTCATAAGGTCAGGCACTAACAGTCTGCAGTCCGATCACCCAAAACACGTTTTACTGCTGAATCCGTCTCCTCGAGCTGTGGGAAGTGAAAACGTCACAGACTAAATCATAGAAAATAATGGTGGATAATGGTCGTTGTCAGCGACCGAGCTGACTGTGTTCTGGTTGCAGGAGGAGGCGAGGAGACATTTTAACTGTCCCATCTTGGAGGGAATGGAGCTGGAGAACCAGGGAGGGACGGGAACTGAACTGAACCACTGGGAGAAGAGGCTGCTGGAGGTGACCACACCGTCTCTGTGACACTTTCCTGGATCACAATCTGCGTTTCTCCTTTTTTTTAAAAAACATGTTCTCTTCCTCCCTCAGAACGAAGCGATGACCGGCTCCCACACCCAGAACCGGGTGTTTTCTCGGCTGACTCTGGCCATCATGGAGGACAGCGGCTGGTACCGAGCCAACTACAGCCTGGCTGAGAGGCTGGACTGGGGCCGCGGCCTCGGCTGCGACTTCGTCATGAAGAGCTGCAAGTTCTGGATGGACCGCCAGAGGCTGAGGTCACGATCTCACTGTTACTCTTACATAAATATATATATAACTTATCTACACCTAAATGTGTCTGACGCTTTGAAACAACAGCTGAAGTTCATAAATAAATTTCTCACAGTCCAAACGCTGAAGGTCTGATTCAAAGACGAGTCAATCGTCTGATATTATTGATCTGACGTGAATGAAAATTTAACTGGACAGTGTGACTCCTCAAACCTGACGTGTAGATCATCTAGAGAGAAGAAGCTTCACTCTGTTGGAACTACAGACACACTCTGACTGATACAGCGGTGTTGCTACAGGGTGGAGCGTCTTCCCTCACAGATGATCTTTGGACGAGTTCAAACACAAGCTGCAGATTTTTTAACCTGACAGCGGACGGGATCATGAAGAGAGGAGAGATACACAGTTCAGAGCTGTGACCAAATCATATTTTACATTCACCGGCGGTGGAAGTGTAGAGACGCTGATGTGGCTCAGCAGAGGCATTAAAACCAAACTGAGCATTTAACTGGGTTTATTTTCACCGACCTGATCAATATCATGATCTGGAAGTGTTGTTTGATGCTCACGCTGCGAGTGCATGTGTAAAATCCACTTTAAAGAAAACAGAGACACACGTAAAAAAACAAAAACACACAATTATAAAAGTAATAAAAATAAATAAATGTGTTTCCTTTTACATAAATTGGTGCAGAAACTTTACCCAGAATGCAGGAAATGAAGCGTTTAATGAGCAGCTGGTAGAGATACCTGATGTTGAGCGTGTTTCCTGGAGACCAGATTTATTTTATTTCATTAACCAGCAAAGACTCAGAGTTTATTTAATTTACAGTGTAGACAGATTCATAGGTGTCATTTACACCACCACCACTTTTTAAAGCATAATTTGTTAAAACAAAAACATCCTGAAATGCAGCTTGCAGTCAATTAACAAATAAAAATGCCATTACAAAGGTTTATTTGCATTTTAAGAAAACATGCAGTGTAATTAAAATGTAGAAGAAACAAATGTGCACTGTCCAAAAAAGAGCTAAAAACAAACAAGCTGCTGATTCTAAAACGACCCCAAAACGTGCAGCAGCAGTCAGTAACTTTAACAGCGAGTTTCTTTTTGGCCAAGTTTCCCGTTCTCTCCCTGTGAACATGAAAAAAGAGGAGGAGAGACGAAATCAGGCCTCAGCAGGGAGGATGTTACAGGAGAAACAGATCTGGGAGCTGCTCTCACTTAGATTCTGTTAGATTCATATATTTTGACATTTCGCCTGTCGTCTGAATTTTGCGTTTCCTTTTACATAAATAAAAACATTTCCGCCTTAAATTGGTGCAGAAACGTTCACCAGAATGCAGGAAATGAAGTGTTTAAAGATCTAAATTTCCTGCCAGATATATCTCTGCATTGAGGAAATCTTTAAAACACTGTTGTCTGTTCTTGTGAACCTAATATTACGTATCGTGATGTCTCTTCACACCACTAATCTTGGCCACCACTTTTCAACACGAAGCGACGCCCTCGCCCAGATTTAATGTTAACTCGTATGAAGAGTAACGTTTCCTGCTGTTCAGCTCAGAATATGCACGCAAGAGGGAAAACAGATTATGTTGCATTTCAGGCAAATGGGATTCTCATCTGATTTGTTTTATGAAATTAGATTTTCAGCTTTTAAAAAAGTGAAGTGATTATTGAATGAAAACCTCCTAAATGAGTGTTTTGTTGTTGCAGACGTCACGCTGTGACTCCGTACTGCGACACGGTGCGAGCTTCTCCTCTGCAGCTCACCTGCAGACAGGACCAGCTGGCTGTGGCCGTCTGCAACCTGCAGAGATACCCGCAGGAGCTGCCCCGGGAGTACCAGGTACACCGGCAGCCGGGGGGCCGCACAGGGTTCAACAAGCAACCAAAGCTGTGGTCTGAAGATAATCAATGAGTTGTTACTATTCTCACATTTAAGAAGCTGGACGTCTGTTGGGATTCTAGCTAGAAAAAGATATTAGTCTTCTTTTGATCGACTAATCAGTCTACGGATTGTTTCAGCTCCGTGTTGTATTACTTCAATGTACTGGATATGATGTATTACCACAGTACTGTGTGACTATATGTGGTTTGAAGTAATAAATACTGCGGTCTCTGTGTGTGTGTGTCAGTACTTTGACAGGATCCCTGACGTGGCAGCTGAAGAGTTGCCGCTGTTCGGCGGTGCCGTGGAGATCGCCGACTTCTGTCCCTTCAGCCAGGAGTTCAGCTGGCACCTCAGCGGGGAATATCAGAGGAACTCGTACTGCAGAGTGTCGGAGAACCAGCCAGGTAACTCCCGCTGCTCCGTGCGCTCACACCACAAGGCGTGATACTCTGAGCTCAGAGGGATGATTTAAAGAACGTTTTTCGTCTCAACGAATCAAAACGATAACGTGAAACGGATGAATGAACCGACGACAGGCAGCTGGTCGGCAGGGAGCTAACCCAACGTTATGCAGCTGCCAGAAGAGTCGGTCCAAACATCGAAATCTTCCTCCAGAACACTTAAAAAAACATAAAAATGAAAAATGCAGGACAATAACTAAAGTACAAAGTAACGCCTAAAATCTACAGGCGTGTTTGATCGCTGTACCAGAACACTGACTCAGCTGATTAAGTGGACAATATTTGGGAGAAATCTGACAGGCAGCTGGTTAACAGACCAAATATTCACACATCCCTGTGATCACTCAGATGGAGGTGAGTTTTAAAGTCACCCAACAGTTTAATGTGTAACTAACAGTTTGCTTAAACACTTTATTTTTGTGCACAGCCGATTAAAAACTTGATTAACGTTAACTGTGAGGGCTGCAAGAACAGGACGTAGATTAAGTAATGATTTAGCTGCTAATCTTCATCTTGTGGCAGTTACAGCAGCTAACAGAGAGGCTGAAAGGAGAACGTTTACATTTACTCATGTGGCTCAAAGCATGAACAGAGCATCAAATACAGATCTACAACTGAGGAAGGAAGGAAGAGTTAACAGTAAAGATAATAAACACAGGAAGTGCACGTTAGCGGTGTTATCAGAGGAAGCGTTCTCTGCAGAGTTTTCATGAGCGTCTTGAAGTCAGAGAGCGACGCCGCTGCTCTGATGGTTCACTTTTACTCCGTGATCGTGAGGCTTTAGCTTCTGAATACAACCTTCAGATGCACAAACTGCAAAACTGTCTGCTTCTTTCTGAGACCACGTTTTCCAAATATTAGACAATATTTCTCCAGGGAGTGCAGAAATCGACATGGCTTAGCAAAAGGTCAATTGTCTGGGCCAATCAGAGGAGTTGTTTTTATGTCGTCATCGCGTAGACTTCTCACAAAATATTTAGATTTTGATACAAAATATAAAGCTATTTTCATCGACTCTATCAAATGGTTTGTATTTTCAGTACATGTGTGATGAAGACTGCCCACCCCTGACTGGTTTAACTGGAAGCTGTTCCCAGTGCTGTGAACGGCGTGTGTTTGTTTTCAGACTGGTGGAGGAACTACGGGGCGGAGCAGTACGGTCCGGACTCCGTGTGTCTGGCCCAGAAGTCGGCCTTCGTGATGGAGCAGTGCACCAGGAAGATGACGTACCCTGACTGGGGCTCCGGATGCTACCAGGTGCTGTTAAACTCTCTCTCCTCAGACCAATTTAAATCCTGCCTCGTCAGACCTGACGTCGCTAACCGCCGTGTGAAAACGCCGTTTCCAGGTGTCGTGCTCGGCTCAGGGCCTGACGGTGTACGTTCAGGATCGCTCCTTCCTCTGCGTCCGTAAGGGCCAGCCGCTGAGCGTCAGCGTGCGACTCAACGACTGGGTTTACAACGGCGTCCTGATCTGCCCCGCCTGCACCGACTTCTGCGCCGACTGTCCCCTCCCCCACCAGCTCCCGCCCATCAACGCCTCCAGGAGCGACCCCATTGGTCAGTGTCGCCTGTCCTCACTTTCCTGCACACACACGATGTCCAGCTGAAGCTTCTCTTGTTGTTACGTGTAAAGAACGTCTCTGAACCAACAAGCAAACATCTGCAGATAAACTAATGTCGTCACGTTATTTATGATCAGAGCTCCGTGTCCGATGTCACCGGGCTGGTGTAACTCAGAATGTCACTTTGCTGTGGACGAAACCTCAGAAAACTCCTATAAAGTGTTGAGACAGTTCGGTGATGATGTAATTAATTGATCGGTTGATTAAGCAAGTTGTTTCGGCAACCGACAACCTCACTAACTAACGATTATCAAGAGCGGCAAAAAGAAGGGAACACAGAAAAATCATTTTGAGTAAAAACATGAAAAAGCAAATATAAATGTAAAATAAAATAATAGGGAAGACTTAAATAATAAAATTAGATGAGAATAAAAATACAAAAATCAAATAGAAAGACTAAATTATTAACACTGGATGGAAACAAAAGTAAAATAAAAAAATAAAATAGAAAAAGACCCAAATAATAAAAAAAAAATACAGAAGTAAAGTAATAAAGTAGAAAAATAATAAAAATTTTAAATACAAAAGTAAAATAATAAAACAAGAATAATAAAAAAAAAATAATAAAAATACAACAATCAAATATAAAGACTAAAATAATAAAATTGGATCAAAACAATAGAACAAAAAGATTACAATTACATGACATTTAAAAAAATGTGTGTGTGTGTGTATATATGTATATAAAAATACTTTTTAAGGGAAACAACTGGGAAAGAAACTAATAGTTTACAAAAGGTTCAGATTAATTATTTAAAATGTTTTAACATGTGTAGAAAATGATGTGGGTCAGGACGTCTCTGCAGCACCACAGTGTCTTAACTTAAAATAGTATTTGGGTGCACTTCACCTTTAACAAACGTCCTGCAGCCACACGGTGTGAGATTTGGATGAAGTGTGAAAGCGACAGACGAATGCTGTGCTGTTCTGTTTCAGACCCCTGCTCCGGCTCCCCGGGTCCGGCCCGCGCTCTGTGGCTCCTGCTGCTCAACCTGCTCCCCCTGGTGGCCGGACTGCTGCTCTGCCACTGCAGCTGATGAAGCGCACGCTTGACTGAACTCTCCTCTGTGGATGTGGGCTGCAGAACTTCTGTTTCACTCCGTCTGTCCTCCAGCTCCAAAACACTCTTTTTACCTTTCCCATCTCCACTTGATTCCTCCTTCATCTCCCCTTCCTCAGGACGTCCGCTCCTCCCGACTCTCAGCACCGTCGGGGATCTTTGAATCCAGTGCAGCTGTATGGCAGCTCACCGAGCGGATGAATCCGCTGTCGTTTCCCATCGACACAAACACGCAGGACACGCAGAACCGGGTCGCCTGCTGCTCAGTAACAGGAAGTGGGCTGCAGGCCTGTTCACGACAGACCAGGTGTTGCAGAAACCGAAAGATCAGCGCGACGGTGACATCCGGTGGCAGCAGGCGGCAACGCTTTTAATCTTTTTAATAAAAACCTGTCGTGTTCGTATAAAAATGACACTTTTCTAAGATGCATTTCCTGTTCTGTACCGGGAGGCGGGTGGTGGAACCGGTTTCCTCACCTCCTCCCAACAGGTCCCTTGAGTTTAAATCCATTGTGTCCCGTCATGAAGCGACGTGAACCTGCAGCAGCGGTGCGACAGTTGAAGATCTGGGTCCAGTGCGGCTCCGTGGTCACAGTTCGAGGTCTCAGCTGAGGTTTTACATCAACGCCGGCTGCAGGTCCATCCTAAGAGGCTCCTAAATCTAATGTGTGGACAAACAAAAGTCCAATTTATACTTCTGCGTCAAATCTACGTAGCTTGATGCACACCGCCCCAAAAATTTAACTACACATTGCAGCAACGCAAACCGCAAGGACTGTGATTGGTTGCACCAGGAAGTGTGCTTTAAAGCCAATTACTACTTGCGGCCAAACCAGACGTCTGCCTAAAGACTTTTATTGTGAAAGGAACGGCGTAAATCGGTCCACAACATCGGTCTCATAGCATTTGGAAAGTGTAGAAGAGCCGCACGATTATTATTTTACCACCATTCAAGTTAGCGCAGGGCTAAACAGGAAGTTAGTCAACACGGCATTTTGGTGCTACAACTGCAGAGAGACGCCAACTCGCAGGTTTTAAATGCTCACGACGGCGTGGCCTAAAGGACGGCTCTGTTTAGGTGATGGAAGGCTGCGGTGAACCGGACTGCGTGGACAGAGCATGAGCCGCGCCGTCCAGTAGAAGGCAAGTACAAGCACGCCAAGCCGGACTGGGTCACGTCACCGACTGTCAACACAAAGCGAAGGCGTGGTTGCAGCAGGACCCTCCCTCACGAGCGGTTCAGACGTCTTTAACAAGTCACGTGCAGAAGAATCCCAGCCAGGGTCTGTCTGCTGGTGACTCCCATCATGCACCTCTTTGCTTTAGAAAGAGGCATTGAGCATCGGGTTAAATCCGCCGCTGCGAAGTCTTTAACTGTGAAACTCTTCTCGACCACCAACTAGGCGGAACCGGCGGCCCGCGTCTGGTTGTTTAGCGCCGCCGTACGAGCAAACCAATCAGAGAGTCTCACTGAGGTCTGCTGGAGGCTGTAACGAGCCGGCAGCAGAGATTAAGATTATTTTAGAGTTTGAACCCAGAGGAGAGGACGGCGAGAGGAAGAAGAAGCCATGCGCACACGTGGGGGAAACCCTGTTAGCTGTCAGTCATTAAAGGCTGTCTGCTTTCGGACAATGAAAACCTGAACAAGCCATAGTTCGATGATGATGATGATGAAGAGGTGACGCTGAAAACGTTTGTTGCAAAGATTCAATTCAACATCTGCTCGGCGGCAGCTGATGTCAGGACGCCACGGCGTTTTGACCCTGACGACAGCTTTTAATTAAGGTTATTGTAGTTTGACATTTTTCAGTATATTTTTATTTTCATTTCATTTTGACTTTTTGTTGTTTAATTTCAGTTTTAGATAGTTTTTAAAGCTAATTGGCTATTTTAGTTAGTTTAATGCTTCTTTTTAGTTTAGTTTCGGTGTTAGTTTTAGTCTTTGGGACGCTTTCTCCCGACGTTTGCCGCCACGATGCCAGGCGATGGGCGTGGGCTAAAAACTGGCACAGTAAAGTACCCGGGACTTTTTCAAGGAACTAAAAGGTTCGTTCAGCCCGTTAAATAACCGGCCGTATGTTCTGAGAAGTGAGTAGCCTCTACTCGGCCAATCAGACATGTTCAGCACTGGAAGCCCCGCCTTCCGATTAGGGCTGGGCGATATGACCAAAAATGATTTTTATATTCGATATCGATAATTATCACCATTAATGTCAAATCAAAATAGAAGAAACCAGATGATTCATTATTTAAAAACTTCTTAAATCTGAGGTGGAACTATTATAAAATCTTTCTCATCAGTAAATCTTTTTTCAGTTGTCCGTGATTCAAATGAATTAAACCAAATATTTATTGACGATATATTGAACAGTTATTAAGTTGTTATTGAGTAGTTTTATTGCCCAGCCCTCCTTTCAGAGTTCAACCCCCCGAGCTGAGACTGTTTTAGGGGTTAAATAAAGACCCTGATTTAGACCCTTCGGCCCTGTGAAATAAACTGACAAAGATGAAAACTAAACTCTCTAATTTTAGTTTATTTCAGTGAGTTCTGCAAAGTTTCAGTTATCAGTTTTTTTACGTAAAGCCTCGTTTTTATTTCAGGTAAAGTGTTGAACAGTCAAATCAACAGCTCGGCTTTTTACACGTTTCTTTTATTTCCTTCAGCCACTGAACTCACCCGGCCTGTATTTGGTGACCGGCCTTTAATTCCTTTTGCACCGAACTGTCGCTCAGCAGAGATGTGAAACAGGCTGCTATCGAACTGTTTATTTCAGCCAGTATGAATTTTACTTACCGGTAAATCTGAAATGTTTCTGTAAAATGAGCTGTGGAGAATCACATGTTCACAACTGGACCTCTGCTTTTAATTGAAGTTTTCCTGTAGCCGTGGTTTTTAGTTTTTCCTCTCTGCAGTCTGCACAGGGTCCCGGTTCGAGTCCGTCTCGGACCAGTGCCGAAGGTGAACCCTGTATGTGCTGCACAGTGGCGACTCAACGCTGCCAGTTAGGATGAGTTAAAAGCAGAGAACGAATTCCCCGTCTGGGATCAATAAAGTATATTTAAAATAATAATAATATTCAGGCTGCGTTCACAGACAGCAGCTCTCTGAGGTTCATCTTCGCTCTTTCATGTCTTTTCAGCCAGCTGAGAAGAGAAACCTTTCACCATTTCACTGTTCTTCACCTCCGCTGACGGTTATTTTAGATGAAAAGTTTGATGTTTAAAACAACAAATCTCACGTCTGTGTGACAAAATCATCTGAGACGTTTGACTCGTCCCGCGTTTATATGATGAGATGAAGCACTGATGCAAAAGAACTTATTCTATTTATCATCATGTTATGTGAAGGAAACATTGAGTTGTCGGCGGTCGTTCTGTCTTTGAGATGAACGAACGTGTCGAACTGAAGGAACTGCTTTGTTTGTTGTTTACAGTTGAACGTATTATTGTTGTTGTTGTTGACACGTTTAGCTTCAGACTGTACCTGGAGGATCTGACCTCGGCAGGCTGTCGACTTACTGTGACGACTGAAGCTGCACTGAGTTCTTTGCATTAAACTGATCTTTGTTGGATTTCTTTCTTTTTTTAGAAAAAGGGCTGCTTTTTAAAACAAATCAGGACGACAAACGTTTGTCTACCAAAATAAATGCTGTCTGTATCCCGGTGTCGTTGAGTCTTGTTTAGACTTAAATAATCAAATATCTCTCAGAAGGTATTAAACCAGTTGTTCTGTTTGTTTGCAGCTAATTATTGATCTGTTTGAGCATTTTCTTATTATTTTCAGGCCCTTCTGTGACACTACAGGTAAACACGCGTCGCTCAGTCTGCTATGAAACTATAAAGTCACCTGACGTCTCTTTGAGTTTAAAGAGACAAGAAAATGTGATTTAATGATTAGAGAGTTCAGTTTATGGATAAACGTCCAGCAGCAGCGACGTCACTGCTGTAAATACTGACACAAAACGTCTTTCTGACGTTTAGGAGAAACAGTTTAACGTCAGATTAGGGTGGAGCTTTCTGCTGAAGGTGTTCTCCGTGTAGGCGGAGCTTCTTCTCACCTGCAGCTGATGCTCTAAATTACAAACATGAATCATGTAAATCTTCACTCCCATCAGCAGTCACAACTCACAAACAATCTTTGCTTTTTAGGTCACATAAAACCTTCATTTAAAGGTCGTCAGTGGGATGTTGAGCAACAAAGGAAGTTGTTGCTCGTTTGCAGACTCAGTTCCACGGCGTCCACCCCCCCCCCCCCCCCCCCCCCCCCCCCCCCGGCCTCCTGCCTGCACCTGAGCAGCTGCTCGCCTTAATTGGTCCCGTTCAGTAAAACCCACTCAGCTGCAACTTTAACATTTATTTGACATTAAAATTAATGTACTTTTAAACAGCGGAGCAGGAAATCCTAATTGTGCAACCTGCCGTGTGATTAGCAGTTGTTGTTAATCATCAGGACAGCTCGTGTTAAATATTTCACTTTAATATATATATAAAATCAGACAGAACAGCATCAAGTACACAGAAGAGGAAGTATTCAGATCATTTACTACAGCAAAGGTACAGGAAGTCCTTAAATGTAAAGCAGTAAAATGTTATCAGATTATTATTTAACATTATTAGAAAGGATCTAATAACCTGAGTGATCTGCTCCACCTGCTGCCTCCAGGTGTTTCCACCCGCTCAGTGTTAAACAGGTGCAGCAGCAGGTGGCTTCGGGCCCCCGGGGGCCCGTTCCCCCGTCTCCTTGATCCACAGGAAGCCCACCTGGGTGCCGAAGTTGAGTCCGTCTCTGACGTGCGAGAAGAAGGCCTCGGGGTGGCAGGAGGTGCAGGGCGTCACGCGGGGCCGACCGGCCGCCGTGTCGTCGTGGATGTTTTCAGGCAGGACGCCGCCTTTCTGAAGGAGGATCCTGGAGAGGGACGTCAGCAGAAACACTGAGCGGCACAAGGACGCAACAAACACAAGTACGGCCGCAACTAACGATCACGTTCACTGTCGCTTAATCCATCGGCTGTTTGGTCTATAAGACGTTAGGAAATGTGAAGGTGATGCTCAGTTTACCGTCGCAGGAGCAAAGAAAGCAGAAAATATTCACATGTAATAAAACAATCAAACCGGGATTTTAGATTATTAGTTGCAGCTCTAACCACCAGTAACAAATAGAGAAGCTGTGAGAGGAGCGACAGGTCTGTGCAGTCTGACGTCCAGCAGGTGGCGCTGCAGCTGAGAGACCTGCTCTGTCATATCTACTGTTACTGTGTCAGAAGCTTTAAACAACGAGGCGTGTGTGTGTGTGTGTGTGTGTGTGGAGCGCCACCTGTTGGCGAGGCGGATGTTGACGTGTGGTCGGGCTGACTCTGGGTCAGCCACGCAGTCCGGGTGGACGCGGTGGAAGTCGAGCGCCTGCTCTCTCTGCATGGTGAAGCAACACGGCCCCACTGACGGCCCCACCGCCACCAGGATGTCGCTCACCCGGCAGCCGAACTCCGCCACCATGGCCTCCACCGTCGCCATTGCGACCCCCATCAGGGTTCCTCGCCAACCTGAGGACCAGCGGTGGAAACTGAGTATATTTACTCAAATACTGTACTGTAAGTGCAAATGTGAGGTACTTGTACTTGATTATTTCCATTTACTGCTACTTCCTACTTGTACTCATCTCAGAGGTACATGTTGTACATGTTTTACTGCATTTAGTTACCTCTCAGATCAACACATCAAACGCTTGATCAGAAGGTTAAAATCAAGATCAGTTTCTAAAATACAATGAAACTACCCGACAGCAACTACTGACTATTGAACTATATCAAATAAAAGCAAGTACGTGTCTGTTTAGAACAACAGGCACCTTTCACACTATGCTGTGCTGTGCTTAAAGGTTTTAGGCAATAACTCAGTGGAGAATGTTCTGTAGGCGACATCGCGAGCCTCCATCCATCTATCATCAACCGCTTATCCTGCGTACGGGGTCGCGGGGGGGCTGGAGCCAATCCCAGCTGTCATCGGGCGAAAGGCGGGGTACAACCCTGGACAGGTCGCCAGTCAAACGCAGGGCCACACATAGACAAAGACCCACTCACACTCACGCCTAAGGACAATTTCGGAGACACCAGTTAACCTAGCCTGCATGTTTTTGGACGGTGGGAGGAAGTCGGAGCACCCGGGTGAACAGGGCCGGGGCAACTTAGGTTTGAACCTGCAACCTTCTCGCTGTGAGGCGACAGCGCTAACCACCGCACCACCATTACTCATTATTAATAACTTTTTTTAAAAGCTGGGTCTCCAACATTGCCAGCGTTGTGTCGGACAGATCTGTGCTGCGGTGTTCATGAGAGAGATTTTAAATAGGCCTAGTAAAACAAAATAATCAGTATGTGGCGGTCAGCCTCAAATAAAAACGAACGTATAGGAAACACTGCCTTTCCTCTGTCGCTGCTGCTGCAGAGGTCCGAGTAACTGGGACCAGGCTCTGTGGGCGTTAACGGCCGACCCGTCTAACTAAAAAGAAGCACATTTTGGATTCGCCATCAACTTTCGTAAAAACTGCCAATATTCAAGTTCTACACCATTGATTTCTCGCCTCAAACCGGCCAAAAGTAGCGTACAAAACTATTTTTCATCGTTGATGTCGTCGTTTACGTCGACTAATCGTTGCAGCCCTACTGTACATACAGCTGCTTTACCAAGATGCTCAGACGGTAACGGATCAAAAAGGAGCAACTCTGCATAACGAGTACTTTTAAAGAACAATTTGATGATAAACCTTTACTTAATATTTTGCATGATTTTAACTTGTAAAAGTATTAATACCCGAATACCGCTGTGGTATTAGTACTTCTTCCACCGCTGAGATTTAGTTTTTCTTTGTAACTGATTAGAGCCTCCACTTTGCTGAATAGTATTTAGTGTTCTGAAGTAATTACAACAAAATAAGATTAATATTTTAACAAACATACATAAATACAAAAATGAGGGAGAGAAAATTCCCAAAAAACCTGAGTGGAAACGCTGGAAACTTAAAAAGTCTAAATATCTTTTTGTATGAAGTTGTGGCAAAACCCATATATATATATATATATATATATATTTATTTATTTATTTATTTTACATTACTGCCAGTAAACCTTCCTCACTAGAAGATCTGGTGTCTTAAATTGGAGTGATGCAGCAACCTGCATGAGCGGCGCCGATGACCTTCAACACCGGGTCAGCGAACAGGATGGGCATGCAGTCGGCTCCCGGAGCTGCTAAAACCACCCCGGTCTGGTCGGTCACCATGGCGTCGTAGCTCTCCGGCTCGGCTTTCCCCAGAACCCAAACATCGCTGGCGTGATTCGCCTGCAGGAAACAACAGCACATCCGAGAGGTTCACGAGTCCGATCACATGAACGGACGAGAAGAAAGAGAACTGGGAGGATTTCCCTTAAATTACTTTATTTTTCTTTATAGTTTGGTGATGCTCAGGTCTAAAAATAAATCACACAACACATGAGAGCAACCCAGGGGCCACCAGGGGGCGGTATACACAAGAAAACGGCCCCTCCACATGTTGCAGAAGGAGTCCTGACAGATGGCAGCCTGGAATCTTGTGCAGGATGATTCATGTAAAGACAGCTCAGTACCTTGACCATACGCAGAGGCCGAGGGTGGAAACCAGCGTGGAGGGCCAGCCGCCGTCTGTTCTCCTGCACCACGGCCCCGGGGTCCCTCCTCCTGCTGCTGCTGAACAGATTCAGGGAGGACAGGGTCGGGATGTAGGACACACCGCCTGAACGAGTACTGAAGCCATGACCGAAACAGTCTGAAAGAGAGAAAGCGATACAGTCACACCAATCCCCATTCAAATATCTGACAATTTTACGGTATCTTGCTCATCAGGAACGTATTTAACCTTTATTTATACAGGGTGAGTTTCCATGTCAACAGATCACAGTGAGAAATAAAACAAGAACAGAGTTATTAACAGGAAACTGCTACAGTATAGAGTTATTCCACGAGTTCGATACACTCACAGTAAAAGCAGTCGTTCCTAAATCAGGTCTGGTACAGAGTTCAGATTCTGTGAAACTCACAATGTTAGACGTGGTCAGAGTATAGCTTTAGCTACAGAACCAGTGATATGAAGGACAATATTTTATTAAAATAGATGCAGCTCTGTGAACAGCATGCAGGCCAAAACTCAATATGTTTAAGTCTTACTAAGTGATGAAATTGGTAGATACTTGAATGGAGTTTGGTTTAGGTATCTTCTTATGTTATTAAATTGGTACAAAACTGAATGGAGTCTGGTATGGTATTATTAAATTAGTAGATACTTGAATGGAGTTTGGTATAGGTAGCCTATCCTCCAATGCTGTCATTAAAACGGTAGACGCTTGAATGGAGTTTGGTTTGGGTAGCCTCTCTTCTTACGTTGTCATTAAAACGGTGGATACATGAATGGAGTTTAGTATGCGTTCTTCTCGTGACATTAAATTAGTAGATACATGAATGGAGTTTGGTATGGTATTATTAACGTAGTAGATACTTAAATGGAGTTTGGTATGGTATTATTAAATTAGTAGATACATGAATGGAGTTTGGTATGGTATTATTAAATTAGTAGATACATGAATGGAGTTTGGTATGGTATTATTAACTTAGTAGATACTTAAATGGAGTTTGGTATGGTATTATTAAATTAGTAGATACTATACCAAACTCCATTCATGTATTATTAACTTAGTAGATACTTGAATGGAGTTTGGTATAGGTAGCCTCTCTGCTTATGTTGTCATTAAATTGGTACAAAACTGAATGGAGTTTGGTATGCGGTCTCTTGTTAGGTTGCGTAAAATTTTGTTGTACTTTATTCTTAGGGTTCATTTTTCAAAGGAGATCACATGACAGCGGACTGCTTGAGCCATCTCGCGGGTTGTTTTGTTTTAGTGGATCAATGAGCTCTGGTCAGCTTCGGGCTCAAGACCACAGGTTAAATGAGCTGCAGTTATCAATACATTTCTTTAACTTAAACCGACCTGGGATCAGCGTTGACTTCAGGACTGTGATGTCTCCCTTCAGCGCAGGCAGCTGCTGCAGAAACGCGGACACGTCTTCGTCTTCGTGGACTCCTGCACCAGGTGGGTCGGTGTGGGCGGAGCCGCCGCAGCTCGGACAGGTGAGGCTGTCCGCAGACCTCACCTTGTACTCAAAGGTGTACACGGCCGTGAAGAGCCGCTCCTGGTACACGCGCAGCACCTCTCGGCCCCGCGGGGACGTGAGGACCCGGACCGAGCTCAGGTCCAGCTCGTCCACAGTCCGCTTGAACCGGTACAAACACTCCGCGGTGGAGTCGGAGTCCAGGACGTGCACGCTGCTGCGCGAGCTCAGAAACGCGTCCGACAGCACGTTTTCCTCCCGGTAACGTTTCCCGCACAGCAGGAACACATGCGGGTCTGCAGCGGTCTCCTCCCGCAGAGACGCGCCGGTGCAGGCCGGGCAGCAGCCGTGGATCAGGTCCAGCAGCACGGCCTCACACATGGCGGCCAGCCGGTGAGTTTCACAGCCTCAGAGTGTTTACAGCTACATCAGGAACCGCAGCCGCCTCTCTGCTTCCTGCTCCGCCCACACTGGAAACCCCTGAACCGGGCGGCGGAAAGTCCTCCTGGCGGCTTCCTCCTGCTCTGCTGCTGACTGCTGCACAAAGCAGGAGGCCCGGCACGGCACGGCCCGGCACGGCACGGCCCGGCACGGCACGGCACGGCCCGGCCCGGGGGGTAGGGGCGGGTTTCAGACTCAGGATGTTTGTGTCTAAACAGACGTGTCGGTGCACCGCGGAGTTACAACAGGAGGCTCGTGTTACTTCACTCTGCACGTGTCCCCGAGGCTTTAAAAAGATTAACTTGTTTAAAATGTTCTGAAAAATAGCTTTGCGACAAGAAATGTTAAATAACAACTGCAAAAACTTTGAGAAAAGTTTATTGATACCTTTTTTATTTTCTTCAAAACCAGATGAACACCAAAACAAAACTCCATCATTTCCATTATTTAAGCATTTTTATTTACATGTGTGAAGTCAAACTACGCCTTCATACCCTAAATACCATAATTAATAAAACCAGACAAAAAAGGTTTTGTTTGTGTTTTATGTGATGTTTCCTGCTAATCTTGTTTATAATCACTCCAAGGAATATATTTTCATACACACTTAATATGTTGACACCTTCTATCTGCAACTGAGCTTGACTGATTGATTTCCAATTATCATTGATTGATTGACTGATATAATTATTTCAAACATGTTAAAGAAACAAACAGACTATTTAAAATAAGCATACATTCAAAGTAACACAAAAAACAACAACAAAAAATATTTAGCAACCAGACATACAATTCATGATTGCCAATAAAAGAAAACTTTTATTTACATGTTTGAAAGAGGGCAGAAAGAAGTACAACTTATATACTCCTACCCCTTTTAATAAAAAAAATCATGAATTTAGTTTTGCTCAAATAAAAATAACTTGTTTGTGTCAAACAAGTTATTTTTTATTTCTCTAAATTCAGGAGTTGCTGTAAATTATGACCAGAACCAAGAATGTGTCGTCTGCAAATAATACAGTTTTCAGTTAGTTCAGAAACTTTATATATGTCATTTATATAGAGGATAAATAATTTAGGTCTCACCCCATTAGAAACAACCACTGCAATGAATATTTCTTTAAAATACTGAAATTTCTTCTTGTTTTGTCCTCAGACCTGGTTCAGGTCAGAGCTGTGAGATTGTTTTGGTGTTTTCCTCTCTTGTTGTTCCTCTCCAGGCCTTGAATGTTCATTCAAGGCCTGGAGAGGATCTCTGTTCCCCAAAACATAGAAACCTAGACTGTGTAAATGATGATGCCTCCCTTTGCTCGAGGCCAGACGCCCGAAGTCGCCCTGGGCAACAGGTCTCTGGACCAGCTGTATATGTGTTTTAGTACTTCTCTGTTTATTCTCTTTTGTTAATAAATAAAGACAACGGTTGGTTGTTACTCAAGTGTTTATCAAAACATGGCTTTCCAAAACAGTGGACTCTTGGCTCAACTTGCCCCATATGAGAGGGGTCAGTTTTATTATTTTTTCATTTTTAGCTGACGCTTTTATCCAAAGCGACTCACAATTGCTATATATGTCAGAGGTCGCACGCCTCTTGAGCAACGAGGGGTTAAGTGTCTTGCTCAGGGACACAATGCTGGACGTGTCACAGTGGGGGATTAAACCTGCGTCTCTCACACTAAAGGCATGCGTCTTATCCACTGCGCCATCATCACCCAATGTCATTTCATCGTGCAAACTCAAACGCGGGTTCCAAACATTTCACTGCACTTAAAAAGTGAAATGTTGCAGCTACGTCTCCTGGTTGTTTCAGATCAATGTATTGCTCTGTTTTCCCCCGAGCCGCCTGTCCTGAAATGGACTTCCCATTTTTGTACTTCCCCCCCCTGATTCCGGCTCCTGGAGGCTCGCATGGCGCCGGCACACATTCAGTTTGAACTACTAGTGAGTCATGTGGTCAAATAGAATTTGCATTAACGGCAGTTTTAAAAAAAAAAAAAAAGAAAAAGTGTGATTGTGTTAATGCATTAAACCGATATGCACATATTTTAGTTGGACACATTATCGTCATGTCCTCACTTTAAAGACGCCTCTAGTAAAAACTGGCTGAACTCTCCCCTCCGCAGTAACGGGTGTATCGTTCCAAAGCAAAGTGTCTCCATGTGTTTCTTAAAGCCACAACATGTCTGAATCAATAAAGCGTGAGTCACTGCGAGTGATCACCACAGACATGTGTTGCGCTCACAGGCTTTTGTTTCATTGTGCACGAATTTAAAGCGCTGACACACGGCGGTTGACAAAAAGCCCTGGGAAATTCCTACGTCCTCCTGCCGATCAGGTGAGTCGGTCAGGTGGAACAGGAGGTTCCCTGTCTGCTCGGGTTTCCTCATTCCTCCTGACTCATCACAGAATAACTCCAGCAGCTGGAGAGGAACATATGTTGAAATGTTTAAATCTGCAGTAACTGTACACACAGAGTACACCTGCAGCTACAGGTACATTTCAACAGCAACAATCCTGCTCACACAGGCGTACCTCACTTTACGTCTGAATTAAAGTCACTGATTGTAAATGTATTCTTTAATATGATCTGTTGTAATACAGTATAAATGTAGGCAGTGGTGGAAAGTGAAAAAGTACATTTACTTGAGTATTGCTTTTGTGTATAATTTTGAAGCACTTGTACTTTACCTGAGTATTTCCACGTTAGACTACTTTATACTCCACTACATTTCCTTAACTGCCTTTAATTGGACTGTGATTTCACATCATGTCTGTAAGGTAAAGATCAAGTTACAGCCAGCTGCTGCTTAGCTTAGCTTAGCATAAAGACTGTAAACAGGGGGAAGCAGCTAGCCTGGCTCTGCCTAAAGCTAACAACGTAGCCTGTTACTTTAACATGTGACAGTAATCACTGAGATTTAAAGGTGCTGGTAGGTGAATTTCTTATTCTTACCTGCGGACAGAGCTAGGCTAGGTGTTTCCAAATGTTTCATGTCTTTATGCTAAGCTGTGCTAACTGGCTGTAGCTTCATATTTACAGACACAACTAAGTAATTGTCCATAAACTTTAACGGGTTGTTCTTTGGTTTTTGTAAATATTAAAACAAACAAGATATAACGTATTAAACATTGAGCTTAAGAGGCAAGCTGTTTCCAGTCGTGCTAAGCTAAGCTAAGCTAACCGGCTGCTGACTTTAGCTTCACATACAGGCATCAGAATCAGCTTTATTGCCAAGTAGGTTTACACAGACAAGCTTTGGTATTTTCGTGACTAACAAACATAGAAAATATTAGAAACAAAGTTTGCAGGTCAAGAACCTTAAATAAAAAATTGACATGTCCCTCTGTAAGTTTAGCAGCATGTCGTTAAACTTTAAATCTTACATTACTGTTAGCTTTAGAGGGACAGGTCGTCCTTTTTATGTCTCTGGATTTTAAATAAATATGTTTTTTATGTTTTTTTTTTATTCCTAAATTTTGTGTGACAACATTTTATCAAAACTTTAGGTTAGCTAGTTAAGCTAGCTAGCTAGCTGATAGCAGGTGTTGTTATCAGACACGGTGCTGAACACGTTCACCTCTTTAAACCAATGTCTGCATCTCTAACATTTTATTTTATGCACAAAATACATGAAAACCACAGCTAGCATCACAACAGATGAGCAATGTGTTTAAACCACTCTCTGATTTAATGATACAAACGAGGGCTGAATTCCATTTCGGTGTGTTAGTACCCTGTTTCCTTACTGTCGGGACTGATTAAGGACGATTGAGTAATTTACACTGGGGTCATGTCCACATGTTGGAAAGCATTTCTTCCTGCACTGACTTAGATTTTGGGTTTTCATTCACAGATATAAAAATATATTCCATCATAAACTGATGCAGAAATTGATCTTCAGTTAGCTTTTCAACAGCTTCAAGTCTCACTGCCCGGCCTCAAGTTAGTGCTTAATATAGTGTTTCTCAACGGGGTGTTCCGAGGACCATGGGGGGCGCTGAGCTGCTTTTGGGGGGAGTTTGTTAGTTGGAAATGCTAAGGTGAGTTTACACCAAAGATTCACAACTTTAAACTACTTGCAGAAAAAAACGTGGTCTCTTCACATTAAAACCTGCCAGTTTATTCCACAGCGGTGTTGTCAGTTAGTTTTGTTTTCCCCCGGCATGAGCGCCTCTCTTCCAGGGAATCGGTTACGTAATCCAGTACAGGGCATGTAGTAAAATATTATGAATTCTCTTTAGGCTAATGACTTTAGGGCTCGGTCTCAATCCCCAGATTATACAACTATTTAACACACGAAATGGGGACTTATGGAAAATGTTTCATCATATAAGTAATTAGGTTTTTGGCTTCAGTTCATGTTGAAAAGCTGAAACTAAGTTTGGGTTTTTACTTTAGGAATAAGTCTTGTTTTCACGCGATAGAAATGTAGCCTGCACAAGTGTTTGGACGATGGTGATGATGTCTACATGCACCATAGTGCTCTGCGCTTTTTAACGAACTCTGACTCCCGTAGTATACAGTGAAACTGCACATTTTGGAGTGGCCTTTTATTGTGGCCAGCCTAAGGCCTTTTATTGTGGCCAGCCTAAGGCCTTTTATTGTGGTCAGCCTAAGGCACACCTGTGAGGTGGATGGATTATCTGGGCAAAGGAGAAGTGCTCACTAACACAGATTCTGACAGAAATAGGCCTTTTGTGTTCATAGAGAAAGTCTTAGATCTTTGAGTTCAGCTCATGATGAATGGGGGCAAAAACTAAAGTGTTTATAATTTTGTTCAGTGTACACATCATTTAAGTAGAGAAAATACATTTCTTAGTGCATTTACAACAGAGGATTAAGTAACACACACATCTTATTCAATATGCTTTTAATGAAATCTGTGATCTAATACTTCATCAATCCTTTTTGTCTTTATTTCTAATAACCGTCTGCAGGTTGTTACTTCTTGAAGAATAGATGGTTAAATGTCAAACATCCTTTCTTAGGAGCTTTGATTCTGTGTTGGACAGGACACCGTACTATTTTGTAAACATCCGAGTTTGTCACTGTTTTTATATTCGATGTGTAAAAAATCTATATTATTTTAAACCTATAGTATCATGTTTGTCTTCTCCTAAGTCCTTGTGAATTCGGGTTAGGAAAGGACATCTGTTTGACGTTTCCACCGCAGCGCTGTTGTTTTCCTGCTGTAACAAACAAAACATTTAACGTGAAGGAGAAACATTAAAAATGCTCTTTAAATATCAAAACTAAAAACCTTCATTGTGCAGAATGGCTTCTTTCTGAGTGATAAATGACTTTATAGGGTTCTTATCACTCTTTTTAATATAACTACAGGTGAGCGGGTTAATTTACCCAGAAGCCCTGCACACCATCAGCCGCCACATGGTGAACACTGGACCAGTTCCCAGTGAAGGTCTCGCCTGTGTTAAAGTGATTCTGTTGCTCAGCAGCAGGTGGCGCCAAATGTCCAGTTTAGATTCCAGCTGTCCATCAGCCGCTGCGTTAATGTCCGGCCGGCTAAATAGAGAAACTACAGCATCGTATATTTTCATCTCATATTTTAATAAAACAAAAAGACTCCATATAACATAAAACATGAACACAGATCAGCCAGACGCCAAATATTTTACCTTAATGATGCTTCAAGGAGAGTTTGAACCCCCCAACCCTCCTCAGTTCAAGTTATCTTTATGGTCCCACTGACCCTCAGCCTGATAAAAGTCTCTTTGTGGAAACACCTGTCTGTGTGTTAGCTCTGAAGCTAATGTTAAGGCGTTTGAGGCGTTAGGTTAGTGAGTTCAGGAGCTGGGCAGAAGGTTTAGGTTGGTTTCTCTTATTTCAGCCAGGTTTTATTTCCGACAGGTGAGGTGAGTGCGGCCAGGCAGGGTTTGATTTCTCTGATTCCCTTTGCTGTTTATTGCCTGATGTTAGAGGAAAAGCTTCGAACTGTCTTTAATTTGTGTCACTTCACAATAAATGTCTGAACTCGCTTCCCTCACTCCTGGATCTCTGCTGGTTTTAACAAGAGGATATCCTGGATGTCGGTCTGTGTGCCAGTTCAAACACTTCATCGGTCTCACTCTGACCTCATGTTATTTAACCATTTAGCGGTCAGCTGCTAGACCTGTCAGAGGTCACACTCCTCTGGAGTTAAGTGTCTTGCTCAGGAACACACCGATGGATGGGTCACAGTGGGAATCGAACCCTCTCCCACACCTAAGGCATGTGTTTTATCCACCGCTCCATCGTCCCCCGCTTCAGACTGCTGCTAAAGACAGAAGGAACGACTGCAGCAGCCAGAAACTGTTTCCGTGTTTCCACACTGACATGAGTGTTGTTTTAAGATGAACTATGCCTCAGATCGAATATATCTTCCTGCACAGTGAGCTCCATCGCTCTGCGTGTTTCAGGCCTCGTGCTAAAGCAGGTCATGTGACGTGCTTCCCGAGCGCCATGTGGCGCCTCGGCCCCGGTGGACGTCTCTGCAGCAGCAGATGAAGGTTCTGCTGCCCTCTGGGACTCTCTGCTGCCAGGCCTGCACTGCCCTCCTGCTGCTGTGGAATTTATTATTAGCCTCTTTCTCTCCGCCGGGACTCGCTTTGTGCCTCACGTCCATCTGCGGTGGTGCTTATTAACATGACAGACTGAAGCCTGATGGTTGAAACGGAGGAGGTGCAGAGCTGCGAGGAAACTAAACACAGTCTGCACGGATCTGACTTCACGCCAAACGCAGGGCTGGACAGAACATTCGTAGATACAACTTTTTATATTCAGGAATAGTTTAGGCAAAATTATCTCTCTCTGTCTCTTTCCACCGAGGTTTGAAGTTAAATAATGTTTTGCACACGAGTTACGTACTTATTATAACCTAAACCACCATCTTTTCCGTCCACTCTACTGCGTTTTGGTTTTCAAACGGAGACCTTTTGCCACGTTTGCACCTCCCGTCCAGACTAAAACGAAGTCCTAAAACGGAGAAGTTTGAAAACGCTGCCGACCCTGTTTTTGGTCTTAAAACTCCGCAGAGCGTTTTAGTGAAGACGGTCAAACACGATAACGCAGACGCTCACGTGTGGCTCTCTGATTGGGTCTCATCAGTCATGCAAAGCAGAAACACGATATTTGTGTATCTGATGTATGACAAACTTACACTGTGCAGAAAATTAGAATATCTTGGAGAAGTTCATTTTTTAGCTTCATTTCACTCAAAGTGAAATACTTCAGGCCTTTTTAATCTTCATGTTTACAGTTTACGGAAATCAAAAACTCCAAATCTCAAATTATTAGAATAAAGAATTTATAATACAGAAATGTCGACCATCTGAAAAGTTCTGAAAAAGGTTAATTTCTGCACCAACTTCTTGTATTTTATGGACTTAATCGATTAATTGACAAAAATGTTAATGATATTAATCGATAATAAAAAGATAACATTATCGTTAGCATGTTAGCATGTTAGCATGCTGATATTAGCGTTTGACTCAAGCACCACTGTGCAGAGCCCCAGTTTGAGCTTCTCGTGTAGCGGTTAGCTTAGCATTCAGTCCTGTCTCAGCGGTAACATCCGTCTCTCTTAAAGATAATGAAGCAGCCGAAAACTCTCAACCCCTGAATAAACAGAACATTTTATCAAAGCCGCTTCATGCGTCGGGTCCAAACTGTCAGGAACTTTCTCTGCACAGCGTTTGTTTTTAGCTCCACAGCTTAAAGTGAGACTCTCAAAAACAGAAAACTGGATTTTCTCCAGGCAGCGTGAAAACCAGAGCGGCTGCAGCCTCCTCTCTCCTGACTCAGTGTCAGCTTTACATTTCTGCAGACGTGGATGGATCTTTTTATCCTGCAGCGGTCAGTGGTGTCCTGACCCCGTCAGCTCATCCACAGCTCCTCAACACAAACTGCTCAAATCATTTTGATCAGATTATTTAAAGCGAAACAGAGATTTCCTTTGTGTTTGACTCTGAGCGACAGGGGGCGCTGCAGCAGCCTCTGACCATCAGCCTGGAGAATCTATTGATCTCAACAAAGTCCTTATTGATCAGAATCAGATTTGTTGCCCTGCAGCTTCACACAAACAAGGACTCTGCTTTGCATAAACAACAAACATCACAGGTAGAACAACGGAAGTAAGATCAGATCAACTGTGTTTATTTTATGTGTTAATGACAAATGTTTTATTTTGGCACAAACGTGCCCCCGGGGGCCGTCAGCGGTGTGTCGGTGCAGACCGGTGGACCCCCGGTGTCACGGTCGGACTCAGACTGGACTCTGCCTGCCGTGTTTCTTAGATCTGATGTTGCATCCTTGTCCCCGCTGTCCCAGGCTCCACCAGTCGCCTCCCCGCTGACAGAGACCAGACCCGGTCGTCGTGCACGGCGCTCTCTCTCTCTCGGAGACGCGCCCCGGGTTCCGTCCTACCGGAGGCAGCAGCGGCTCGGTGTCTGCAGAGAGAAAGGGGGACCAGCTTCACCTGCACCGGGATTTATTAACGCGGAGGTTCCGGAGCCTGTGTCGGATCCCGTCACCGCCTGAACCGGTAAGGACTCAAATCCTCTGAGCCCGGATTGATTTGTCCGCTGTGCGTTTTTATTCCTCCAGCTGATGGCGCGCGCCCGTCAGCCCGTCACCGTGAAGCCCCGTTCATCACACACGAGCCAATTAAGACCGCTTTATTAAAACGGGGTCCGGGATCTGCATCCCGCAGCTCCGCTGTGCGCACAAAGGCTCTGCGGGGCCACCTCTCCACAACACGAGCTTAAAGTGTCTCGAGCTCCGCGTTCAGCACCGAGCTGGAGACCCGAGAGTCTCTGGTTCCTGTTGAAGACAGAAAGTGAAGGGTCTCTGTCTCTGGTCCTGTCCCGCTGCCTCAGCCCGGAGCGAAGTGTCTTCAGGGTCTGACGTGTGTGTGTGTGCGGGGTTATTCACCTGCAGCCGGGGCGTGCGTGCGCGTGCGCGTGCGTGCGTGGTGGTGTGGAGATCCGCTGTGCTGGAGGATGATGTCCTTCATATCAAGTCACCTTGACCACCCATCAGCAGCAGCTGTTAGTGCGCGTGGGCCTCAGATATCCTCTGAATGCCCCTGATCTGAGACAGAGATGATCAATAAGTGTCATGATGGACACAAACTCAGCTCTGTACACACTTTATTAAAGACTACAGAGGCTTTAGTTATATACTCTACATCTATATCTGTATATTAGCATTTCATTAACATACAAAGAAACATCTGTAGGCTGTAAACGTTCAGTTCGGTATAATTAAATTTAACTTACTGTTTAAAAGCTGCAGCAGATCAGAAACAGTTTTCATCTCAAAACTGCAATCAAAGGCTGTACGAATAAAAAAAACCCACTGTGGGATCAGTAATAAATACATCAATAAATATATGAGAATCAGAAGGAGCTTTGTTGCCAAGTAGTGTTTTACACATACGAGGACTTTGCTGTGGTGATGAGGTGCTACACGCAGACAAACATACTGTCGACATAAATAAATGTAGAAATAAATAAATATGGAATAAACAAATGCAAGTTATAAAAGAATAATAGAAGAATAGAGAAAAATAATACAAGTATTTGCAGAGAAAGAACAACGTGGTGATATTTACATTTACTCTGGTTTGTGTTGTGCAGCAGGAGAGAGTGTCGTGTACAATGTAAAAATATACAACCACCAATACGTGACAGGTTTAGGCGTGATGGGAGATTAAACGGCGTTTACATACAGACATTTGTATTATTTGAAAAGGGGGAGTGTCAGTAGAGACCCGGGCTTGTTAATGAGGCTGCAGACGGGAAGAAGCTGCTTTTGTGGCGAGAGGTTTTGGTCCTGATGGACCGCAGCCTCCTGCCAGAGGGGAGAGTCTGAGACAGTTTGTGTCGGGGGGGGAGGAGTTTATTTGACGGATATTCCAACAAATATCACCACATCTTCACATTCATCTCTTTTGGTTTCTGTTTTGGTCAGAGCCAGAACTCTGTGCGTTGCATTGTGGGAGAATAGTCTTGAATAGTGACGGAGGGAACTTGACCTGCTTCACAGAGTCTGGGATGTGGATTTGAGAAACACTCGAGCGAGTACACACTTTTAGTTTACCTCGTGTGTGTGTTTACATCCTCCTGCAGCCTGTAGAGGCCTCGCTGCAGCTCTCCGGATTAAATAACAACAAAACAATATTATTATTACTCAGTAACGTGCAACACATCACACCCCAGTAGCTCCGCAGCTGTTTACCTGCAGCCCTGAGCATCAACGCGGCGCTCCGGGTAACTCGTCACCCGGGCGACGCCCTCAGCACCGCGGCGAGGACATCAGGGAGCCGTAATCACAAACAGTTCCTGTAATCTGGCAACGCTTCAGGAGGACGAGGCGGTTCATAATGATCTGCTGGTTTTAGTCCTGCGACGTCCCATGAGTGCACGTTTGTGTTTTTGTAGATGACGACAGGTGAGTCTGGCTCACCTGCACTGCCGTCACCACGCTGCTTATCCACCAGAAAAAAACAGCCGCATAGATTGTTATGCAGCAGCATTACAATTCAAATCTATTCAAACTAGGGCTGCAACTAACGATTATTTTCATTATCGACCAATCTGCCAACTATTTTCATGATTAATCGACTAATGTTTAATCTATAAAATGTCAAGAAATTGTGAAAAAATCAGTTTCCCAGAGCCCAAAGTCACGTCTTTAAATCGCTTCTTTTGTCCAACCGAGAGTCAAAAACCCAAAGATTAGCAGCAAATCCTCACATTTTTAACATTTTTTGCTTAAAGAAACAACTGAAATGATTAATAAATCATCAAAATAGTTGTTGATTAATTTCTTTTGATTGATTAAGTTATTTATCCCCGTAGGGCAACTCAGTTTCAGTGTACCAGTCACATTAAACAAAAACAGAACAACCACAATCAGTCGTGCAACATATCAGCCTCTGGGCTCCAGAGCAAGCACGGGCCTGGGAAATCCAGTCCAGGTCTGAGGTTGATCCTTCCTGCAGTAAGTCCTCATTCTATGAGTTCAGCTGGGGAGCGGGAACTTTCAGAGTTACTGTGTTTTATTGTGAAAATCCCTCTTTGTGCATCCACAGTATTACTGTTAATTGGATTTATTAAAAGATCACCTGATTTATGAGGGGATCACCTGATTTATGAGGGGGTCCTGCAGCATACATGCATGTACAGACACAAAGGTAAAAGTATAGTACATGCATTTACATTTATTCATTTAGCTGTCGCTTTCACGCCTCTGGAGCAACGAGGGGTTATACAGGCTAATGGGTCATTTATCAATATGCATTATAACAAATGCAATAGACAGATTAAAGTCATGAAGACAGCCGTCCAGCTGTAAATTCCACATACACACAGTTATTATTGATAGTACAGTTGGTACCTTTTAGTAACAGAGCGTGTAGGTTTTTTATTTTATTCACACACATAAAAACATACAGTCAAGAAGAAAGATACGTTCCCAGGCCCTCCTGAAATTTTCTTCTTCGTTGTTAATTCTAGCCAACATGCGTTCATATGATGCAACTGACATCCTTTCCATCCATTATTCAAGCAGCTGTGACCATCCCAACTTTTGAAACCCCTCGTTCATATTTGGATATATTTGACATTTCTGTTTGGTCCCCTGACTTGGTGATACAGGTACCACCACACCCAGCCACTTACTCACATGTTCACTCTGACACTTCCAACATAAATTATTTCCTTTTAAGCCCATTCTATGTAGTTTTGAAGGGGTGAAATAAAATCTATGAGTTATCTTGTACTGAATAAATTTCCCCTTCGCCTCTTTCATGTGTTTCCTTGTATTTGATAAGATATTTAACCAATCCTCCTCACTCAGATCACACCCGAGGTCTTTCTGCCAAATGATCCTCAGATTCTTACATAAATCTTCTCGTATACCATTAAATGCCTTGTAGAATATTGCTGCTCTGTGTTTTATATTAGGTGGGTCCAAAACCTTCATCAGTGTATTCTGGCTGCGACTAAATTCACCCTTTGTGATGCATTCGCTTATTTGTAAATATTTCCAAAAATTACCTTTAATATTTAGAGCGTGTAGTTTTAAGAAAAGAAAATAGAGACGAGCTGAAGAAACAAAAAGCAGAAATTGATCTGTACTCTGTCTTTGTGGTCAGTGTGAACATGAGGAGCTAAAACGGGCAGGTGAGGCTTTAAAAGGAGCTGCGGGAACAGAAAACGCCTCGTTGTCCCCAGAAGGTGAGCTTGATGTCAGGCTCGAGTCCCCACACTGTGATGAAAACCAGACACACACACACACTCTCTCACACACAAACAAACGGCGGTGGAGTCATCTCTTGTGACTAATTCCTCCCGTGGTGGAACGCAGCCTAATGCTCCCACCGCATCTTAAAATACCACCGCAATTAGCGACACTCGTCCCCATTGAGCGCTGCAGCGTGGGGTCAATTAGCGTTTGTGAGGTGGCTCGGCAGAAATCTGCGAGAGACACGGAGAGGGCGGATAATCGCATTACGGGAGCTGACAGGCTGCTTTCTGCCGCGCGGTGTAATGTGATGCATGAAACGCGGAGACAACAGGAGATTCTCAGTCCACTCTGAGGAGGATCCTGGGGGAACCCATCAGACCCCTGCAGGCCTGCGGGTCACGTCGCCGCCGTAATCCCCCGTCGGCCACGCCTGGCACGGCCGTCCAGCCGCACCAGCAGAGTGAGTCAAAGTGGTGTCAGATTCTGCTGCAGTGACGCGGACCAAACCCGCGGTGTCTGGTCCTGTTGATCGCCTGCAGGCAGCAGATTGTTGGCTGTGATGATCGTTATTATCTGCCCGCCACGTCACATTTACAACACGACTCCACCAGAAAGCTGATCCTGCACGCTAACTGCTCACTGTCACTGTACAGCTGCTACAGGAGACACTATTAAGGTGACTTAAAAACTATCTCCTGCTGCAAACGGGCTTCTGACGGGATTGATTTAAGAACCCGTCCTTTAAGGTTAGAATTAGGAGGTTTGGTTTCGGCACCCTGTACGCAGGATAAGCGGTTGACGATGGATGGATGGTTTCAGCATGTCGGCCTTTAAAGGGGACCAATTGTGCTTTTTCATATATTCTGGCATTTCTACAAAGTTATAATGTTGGATGTTCGTGTTAAACATGACCAGAGCTTCAAATAATGAGGTCAAAGTATTTAAAAGAAATCCCTGTGAGCCAAAACCTCAGATTTCACCCCGTTCTGGACGCTCTGTTTTAAACCGGCTCGGTGTGATGTCATTCTGAGCCAGATTTCCATATATGGTAATTTGCTCCATGCAGAGAATGCTGGCCACGCCCACAAAGGAACCTGGTAAACACAGAAGACAATGGCCAATCAGAGGACAGTGGGCTGTGAGAGGGGGGGCCTTAAAGAGACAGGAGCATCTACAGCTTGTTTCAGACAGAGGCTGAAATGAAGGCCTACATGAAGAATCAGTATAGGAACTTTGAATCATGCAAAGCTGCCGTACAGGAGTCACAGAACTACAGTTTAGGGCTGGAAA